TTTCTCTTTCACCACAGAGCTGCATCCCGTTATCTGGGCGGAGAGAGGGGGAGAGAAAGAGAGATAGAGATTGATCAGACTCTCTCTTCTCTCACCCATTCGCTTGAGCCCGAGTCAGTCAATGTCAACGAGACGGAGTCTGCGAGAAGAGGACACATGAGAACAAAGCGGAATTATTTATAAATTTATTCTACAAAGAACAATATTATTTTATACATTTTATTTTCTGCAGTTTTCGGACTCTCCTTGCTTCCTGCTTCCTTGTCCTGTTGCACCACCGCAGGAGGAGCTGTTTTTGTGGAGGAGCTGAGGAGGAACGGCTCCCTTTTGTTGTGTCGCTCTGCACTTGCTTATTATTATTCACACTCAACTTCTGCTTCCTCCTCGTTCTCCAACCTAGGAGGGTTCGTTTCTCCGTTTGCCTTGTTGGGGCTTAAATGGAATGAATGACAAAAACAAAGGAGGTTGATGTCCATAACTCCCCGTCTCACCTCTTCTTCGCCTCGCCCAAGGAAAGGAGACTCCATCTCCGACAGAAGATGGAAAGCGGAGGCGGGACAGAGGGTTCGGACAGCGGGCACGCGGTGTCTGAGAGCGCGGCGCTCTCCACGGTGCTCCCTGCTCACCCTCCCGGGGAGAAGAAAAAGGTGCACCGGGCTCCATCTCCGGCCAGACCGAAGGATGTGCCCGGTTGGTCTCTGTCGAAGATCCGCTCAGGAATAGGGACGCCGACGCTGAGCGTAAAGCCGGGAGGCATCCACCTGGGAAGCCGCATTTCCAGGCGCAGCCCGGTGGGAAGCCTTGCAGGGAAGGACGGAAAAGCGGAGAGGAGTGGGGGCGGTAAACCGGCCGGTAAATCCTCCTTCTCACACTCGCCTTTGTCCAAGTCCTCGGCGGCGAAAGCGAGCAAAAGCAGCGCAGTGCGAAGAAAAGTGTCGGACGCAAGTATTGGATCTGACGATTTATCCAAAGACTCTGGCTGCGCTGCAGGCAAGCTGTCCCCGACCGACAGCAGCTCCGAGCTGTCGGACTGCGCCTCTGAGGAAAACAAGCTCTCCACGGACGCTGTGAGCAGCGACGCCGAATCCAGGAGCAGCCGTGGCGGCGGGCTGGACGGAGAAAAGTCGCTCAGGAACGGCTCTTTGTCGGACAGAGTTAGCCAACAAACCGCCACCAAGGCCACATGCTCCTCTGGGGAGAGGGAAGACAAGGACCGTCTGTCTCTTGAAGTGGAGACCGGGGAAGGGAGCGTGTCCCCGGCTGAGGAGCGCTCGGCCACGTCGTTTGACAGCCGGGTGCCGGCGAGCACATCTCTGGCTTTCTCAGACCTGACGGAAGAATTCATGGACGGGATGCATGAAGAGTTTGTGAGAGAGATTGAAGAGCTGAGGTCTGAGAATGATTACCTCAAAGTAAGTGTTATTCAGCTGCAGGCTTTTCTGCACATTGTTTTCTGACAACACTATAAAATAAACATTTGCACAATGCAAACTTTCTCAACTTTGTTTTATAAACTTGATTGATAAAAATAAAACGTTGCAAGACATTAAGGCCACTATAAATAAATAATAAATCCTACAGACATTAATATAACTCTTAGTCAGAGAAAGTAAATGGTTCTGTGTTCATCAGTTGGGATGTTGCCCTGTGCATGTATTTTCTATTTTAGAAGAATCTGTTTTATTGGTTAACCCATCCCTGGCACAGTGGGTGCTTTCAACAGTGCCCTGGGGAATAAAGGAATCTCTGGTTCACCACAGCCAGGGTGGGATTCATATCTTCTGGTTAAAAGTCAGATCATGGTCATGATATTGTTAGTGCAGAAAAGTGAAATAAAAAACCAAGAAGAATTAGATGTGTTTAGCTAAGACTCGTCTTACGAAACTCACTTTTTTAGGAGTTGTTGTGACATTTCATTTAACTCAAGGACCAATGCATTCAAATGTGTTGTTGCAAAGTGATGCACAAGAAGCTCTGTGTTGAGCACATTTTGGAAATTTGGTATTAAGGTCAAACTGCTTCACATAAAGCAGAGAAACACAAACAGAGAAAGTCTGTTTTAGAGAATTCCTTGGATGTCATTCAGAGCTACTCACTACTGCCACAGATACTCACTCTGTACCACATGAGCACAACACATACAGCAGTGCTGTAAAATACACAAAAGACCTTGTTATGAAGCCTCACTCTGGGCAGACGGCTGCCCATCACTGTTGTTGTTTTTGTCACACGTCACCTTTTCACATGATGGAGATGGTCTGCAATCTCATACAGGCGCCTGAGGGCTTGTCAGTCCACACTGTGCCACATTCTGCCTAGCTGCAAATTTCCTGAGGTAATTGGCTGTCAGTAATTTAAGAGGCAGTTCTTGCTGTAGCCTGGTGTAATAATATGTATCGCTCAAGCGTTTTGGTTTCTCTTTCGTTTGCTTTACAATACTTTCTCATTCGGAAATTTTCCGAAAATGGAACTATTTCCTACACACTCAGCAGAACAGTTCTGTGTCTACGGTTATTGCATCACCATCAATTTCTGCTCTGTCTGTGGGATTATACTGTAGGTCGTCAAGTGTCCATACGAAAAACATTAGTCATTGTCATCGCACTGTCAGATCGGCGGTGAAATGTTATATGGATCATTTGGTGGGGCAGATCCACTCTGCCCAGAGAGTGATTGATTAGGAGTGAGATCAATTACATTAGCATGCACCAAAGCAGGAACTGGCACTGACCAGACAAGCCAATAAGCTTCTGAGATTGACTGGGGAGGGCGATTGATTGATTAACAGCCGATGTCCGAAAGGGAAGACCACCTCGTCAATTCCTCGTGAATTATATCTCCAACAGTAAAGATTCACCGTTAGTCACTAATGAGCTGTATATTACTCACCTACCACAAAGAAGGTAATGTAAATAAGTGGTCTGATGTAGAGTTTGGAGATGTATAGACATTTTAGACATATCTAAAAAAAAGGAGGCTGAGCCACTGACCTTCCTGCTGCCTTTTCCTATTCCTGTTGATCATGTATACCACAAGTTGGATATTTCTTATTGTCACCCTCCAAATGTAAGACAAATGCACATACTGTGCTAAAAATATGTGAGGGGGCTGTGTGTGGCTGTTATCTGGTTTTATGTTTACAACAAACTGAATTAGATATGAGGAGAGCAGAGTTCAGGATGAAGAGGTGGAAGAAGTTTTGACTTGAGGAAAGATGGTGGAAGTAGAGATTTAACTTAGGGATGTTAAAGATAGAAACCTTAGGAATACACTTAGAAAGATTCATGTGTGGATGAAGTAAAGGAGGATGTTGGGAATGGGACAGCTTTGAATGGTGGCATATAATCTTAAAGTGGAACCTCTGAAGGTGACAGCTGACAAAATAAGAAGTTGACATGACCACACTGGTCTGTGGCTCTTGTAAAAACACACATGAAATCAGCATTCTCTGTCTGTGTCCCATAAAGGATTTACAGTACACATATGTACTGTATAATTATGCCTGAGGCAGAGGGTTATGTTCTTGAGTATACAGTAAGTCAGGATACACCAGAGCTGCAATAATTATTAGACCACCCCAAAGCCTGATGGGAGGACCCTGCACTAAAGTAAGGCCATTGGTGTCCGTTGTTGCAGCTGTGAGGGACACCTGGTTGGTAAACAGAAGATCAGAAGATCCAAGCGACACGCTGCGGACTGAGGTGTCACACTCTCAGTCTCACCCTTGCATGCACAAAGTAATTCTCACCCCCTCGTTAGACCTTATTGTTCTGGCCCCAGTACTTATGTGCCTACAGTAATCAGCTTAGTCTATCTGTCTTGCACTATATATAGGCTCTCTGAGATTCAGCTGCTGTCTGCTGGTTAAAACTAGCATCTGCTAAAGTCCTGTTAATGATGACCTTTGATTTATGGTTTCTGCCGGAATGAAGTGAAATCACAGTAGAATGTTGCACCTTGAGTCACACCCAATAATACCTACAGAGTCTCTCCTCTTCCCTAAACGCTGTCCTACAACCAGACTCATTTTGGAATCAGTAAATGGTCACCATGGAAATGAAATTTGACAAACAGTGCTGATGTAAGAGATGATACTGATGCAATCTAAGAGGTTAAAGACTCTACGTCTGGATTTCATTTGTAAGGAATGTGTTTGTGATGACCACACTTTAGTCTACAACTGCTAAGGATCAATGCAGCTCATACGAATGGTTATTTTTAAGCCAATTTCAGATTTATTTTTCACTTTTACTTATGTAAATAAATTAAAAACAGGGTCTGCAGTGAGGTGATATATTTGCTTTATTAAATAGACAGTAAGCTTGTTATCTTGCATTTGATACTAAACTATTTTTAAAAATTGATTTATTGGCTAAAACATACACAAACTCTTGCAGTACCTGACCCCCTGTTTTTTAGAGTCATCATTGCATGTTTTTAATAATATTTATTAAAAATTGAACAGAATGTTTAAAATTAGGCTAAAATTACTAAAACCACTAGAATAAGTAGTTTAATAACTTCTAACAGTTAGACTAATTACATGTTTAATTTTTCAGAGAAGTTACTATATACTGTCATTGTGAAACAAAAACAAACAAAAAAACCCACGGTGGTAGTTAGAGGCCGTTACATTCTTTGGTTTTGACAGTTGCTATTGATGTAACTGTGAAAATCCATAGTGAATGGTTTAGATTCATTGCTGTAAAAACTAGTGCCTTCTGCTCAGGGCAGTTATTTTCTGACATGAACTCATCTGACTGATCAAACTGTGACATCAGGCTGATGGTGTCTTCTGACTGTCTGGCTGTTCACATGATACAAATCTTGTTTCTTTCTTGGCTGTGAAAGCAGGTCAGTAGGGCAGCTCTATGTTTCCTGGTCTCCTACAACATTAACTTGTGATTTCCCCATCTTGTGTCCCCACATTCACATGCTTCTCTGTTTTTGTGTTTCATTGTTTCTGCATTAAATTCCTCTATTTACCCATGCTGTATGCATTTACTATTTTTTGCTTTTATTTTCCAGAGAAATGTTTTTGGATTAGGGATGCATAATACTCAATACCCACAACTGATAATAACTGGTCCCTACCAATAATATAACACATATAACATATACTGAGTGGTAACAATAAAAACCCCAAAATGATACAATGACTCCTTTCAACAATCTATTTATAAATAGATTTCATGCATTTAAAAAAATGTGCTGAATTAGGATATAATTTTAAATAAGATCAAAATTAATACAAATTTAAAACAAATGAAACCCAACTTCATCTAAAGCTTTACAGAAACAAAGCCTATCATAAAAAAGCAGGAAGGGAAATACTTGAGAAGTAGCACCAACTTGTGTTGTTTGTGCAATTTAGTTTGGAAAATTCCAAATGTCTAAACCTTCACCTGTCCCAACAGTTCAGACTGTGATGTAGGTATCTTAAGAATAAAGTAGTTTAAGACCAACATATAGTTTGATGTTGATCAGTTGTGTTGTGTAATAAACAATGTTCAATGTTCAAGTACATCATCAAACTAATATTTTGCAGGTTTCTTAAACAAACACATGCTCACCATGATCCATATTCTCACAAAGTTTGAGCCTGGAGGTGGAACACTGACACACCCTAACTCACTGTTGTCCCCTGTCTCACTCTCACACACTAACTCACACACACACACACACCTCTGAAGCTGCTGCCTATGTTGACCCGTATTTCCTCTCAAAGTACTTCGTCTTTTGATAATGTAATGAGATTTCAGCCTACGTTCACCTGTCTCTCTCCTGCAGCCCTCTGATCCAGACTTTTCCTCCTATTTATAATGTTAGTCAGATTCCTGATGTATAATATGTTGTAGCCACAGCTGATGATGCAACTCATGGCATCAAATTGAAAATAATAATTTATCTCCCTGTGTCTAATCTAGAAAAATTAATGACCCTTCTTAAATGAATTAATTTCCTTCACTGACTAATTCACAAGTGTGTTTTTCTCTGACCTCAGCCTTGACTGTTGGAATCTGTGATCCTTTTAATGCTTATCTCAAACAACCTGCATCTCTCCGCGGTTGTTTGTTTCCTCGAAGGTAATCTAATCTCCTCCAATAGCCTGACACCTGACCTTATGGCAGTCAAATCAATAGAGTGTCATTTTGTCTTACTGGAATGGATATACCATGCTGCTGCCTTTAACATATAGATTTACATTCCTGATAATCCGTTCATCTGACCAGGAGCATTGTGGTTGCTGTAATTCATCTTCATAGCACGAACGATGAAGGCACAAATCTTTAGTCGGCTTAAATATCACGCTCTTTGTTATGACTGTCAGCTTGATAATGGAGATAATGGTGGGAGCCAAATGGCAAGAAGCACTGATTAATGGGAATGATGTTACATTATAATCACTGTCTATATATATACAGTATGTATATATATATATATATATAAATTTAAATAAATATTAAATGATTCCACAGATGACACAGTGATGTGGAAATTATTCACTCAATACTTTGAGACACAGGCAGAATTTCTCAACAGTTCATCGTCTCTGTGTGTCCCCTAATCACACTGTCTTTCTTCCTGTGTCCAGGATGAGATGGAGGAGCTGCGGTCTGAGATGCTGGAGATGAGGGACATGTACATGGAAGAGGATGTCTATCAGCTACAGGACTTACGTCAGCAGCTGGAGCAGGTTTGTTTGTAAAAAAAAAAAAAAAATATCCATCTGTGTTGTGTTATGATAATTGTGTCCTGGGCAGCAGTTACTGTACTGTATGTATAATTCAGACAAACAGCGTGGAGTAATGAAGTTACAGCAGTGTAAACTTTCACTAGTGGTGATTTTACTGTAGTGTTATAACAAAAAGACTTGACACATTTTTTCCAGTGTGGAACACTGGCTTGTTTGACCAAAGCCTGGTTAGATATAGATTTACTGAATGTATGCTGTTGTTGTTGTGATTGAGTGGGTATGAATTTTAATTAATACAACAGGAGGGTGCAGCACTTGCCGGCATGTAAAACCAAGGTCAACTTTTATCACTACCACTTATTCAGGATGCCAAAATCTTTAGTAAGACACTATTTGAAAACCTATGTAGAAACAGTTCATAATAGGGAAAATTAAATCCGATGAAATGCAGTTCTATGTATATGTTTTTACACACCATATTCTGTCATTCCATATAGTAAAGTTCTACTAAAACTGAATCTGGAGTCTTTTTCTTTTCAGGCAAATAAGACATGCCGTATCCTGCAGTACCGGCTAAGGAAGGCAGAGCGGCGCTCCCTCCGGGTAGCCCAAACAGGGCAGGTGGATGGAGAACTGATACGAACGCTGGAGCAAGATGTTAAGGTAAGTTTGAAATGAACTAAGGCACAGGGGAAGTTTCCTAAATTCAAAGTGTACATAAACACACTGATAGAAACCCTGACCTGCGTTTCCAACTCCATGAGAGCAAACAGTCTTGTTCTACAGCTCTGGTTTGGAGGATGTTTATACATTTTGACTTGACCCAGATTCTTCACCATGTTGAAGTCATGAGACTGTGGAAAGGCTAAACTTCCTGTGCTCTCTTTATGGAATTCCCCTGTATTAAATATACAATATGGACTGATTGACACAGATTTGACTTACAAATACTCAGTAGTGTCAGAAAGTATCACACGTACTGTATATACAAATACTGCAGCTGTGCATATCTTTGTACTGTGCACACATTTTGTCAAATTCACAATGTTCCTCCAACATTTTTTCCACGTGATGGTGGACACAATGCAGCCTTTATAATCTCACACAGAGAGAGAGAGAGAGAGAGGCAGTGGCAGAGAGATGTGATGTCACTCCTGCCTGCTGTTGCTGTCTGTCTCTCTGCCGCTGTCTCACCATCTGGAAGTTTCAGAAAGGAAAAGGATGGAAGGAGGGACGTAAGGAGGGAGGGAGGGAGGGGAGGAGGATGAACATACTCCTTCTGTGTTCCCCTGAGAATGAAAGGAAAAAAGAGAGGGTTGTCACTATTTGAAAATTTAAAAAGAGCCAATCAGAGCAGGCGGTGGGGGGTGAGGAGGGGGAGGAAAACAGGAAAGGAGATGGGAAGAGGTATTCTAAAAAAGAAAAAGAAATAAAGCAGAAAGGTAGTGAAAAAAAGAGTCGGAAAATTAAAGACGTCTGAAGGAGTGGAAGGTGAGGTCAGACATGAGGTTAGGTCTGCATCTGTTGCATTAGCACAGACTTACTACAACAGTAATCGGAATAAAGAGAAATCAAGAAAAAAACCTGAAACGACAGAAACACAGAGCCGACCACGGCTGCCTCTATCTCTCCTCACACACCATGGCCCATTGTGTCTGCTTGCCAACAGGGTCAAACACTCAGATGGCAGTTCAGGTTACAGAGTGTGTATGCATTTGTGTGTGTGTGTATGCGTGCGTGTGTGTGCGCTTGGGTGTTAGAGCATACGCTGAGCTGGTCTGTTGTCAGTCCCCCACAGTCATTCTTCTGTTTATTCCTGCAGTGTTTGAGCTTTGTAAAAGCTGCCACCTACGCCCGTGACTCAACGCTGATTCATCTACGTTGGAAAATAAAAATCCTTATAATAGCTTTTTAGAAAGCCAATAATACTGAGGGCTTCACTGCTTCCCTTGGCATAGGGTGTCAAATATTTAGAATAAAATGTATTGGTGAACACACACCCTGTCTATTTTTAAAATATTAATATATTCCTAAGATACTGAAAGCAAGGCAACCTTTAACAATTACTCTCTATAAAAAGTTATTTTTTTTATTTTTAAAACAATAATTAAAAAAACAATTTACTACTAGTCTTGTTGAATATTAGTCAGTAAGTAATAAAATACTGATTACAACTAGTGCAGACATACAGTTCTTCAGCTTCTTCTGCAACAAGCTCAAACAAACGGTGGCTTCATGTGACAGTGGGACGAGTGACTTCACTTATGTTGTCATGTGAAACCAATGTCAATGCTTTGTAAACGCATCTCTTGGATCTTAAAAGGTTCATTTCCACTAGTGCTTCAGAGTCATGTGACCATTATTCCTTGGTGTTTTTCTGTGTCAAGTTTTAGTGGCTGATCAAAGCATCTAGTTATACAAATCAGGACGAGGTCACACGTGTTTTATTCTTGTTTCAGTCCATTTATTTTGTCATAAATATCTCTGTTCCTATCATCACATGACTCTACTTCACGTATGTGTGTGTGTTTGTGTCGAGGTCTATGTCATAGAGTGCATATATCTGTGAGAATTCTTGACATCATTTCCTGTCCCACTCACACACTGCTCTCATTCCCACAGGCTGCAAACATCTGGAAACAAACACGAATACACATACACACACTCACACACAGGAAATAGTTGTTAGTCTTCTCATGATGTCGGCACCACAGAAGAGCGTTGTTTGAAGTTGCCCATTATAAATGGTCTGACCTCTTCTTTTAGCTTCTTTTACCTTTGCAAAATAAACCGTAAACCTTTTCCATAAATGCTTTCATACAGTTCAGTACATCAAACTCATGGCTGTCTGTAGTATAGAGTCCACGCTAATGTTTACTGGAAGGGTTAAATGCATTGGTTGAATTCCCTGTGTTGGTTCATTAGTAAGAAATGAAAACCCTGGAAAGGGGTTGGAGTTAAAAAACATTAAAATATTAAATGTTAAAATACATAATGGTTTGTATTGTGTTTAAAATTCCTTAAACCCCCTTAGAACAACACTACTCTCTTGTTTAAGTCAGATTTAAAGTTTTCCTATAACCTTTTTCACTCCATTATTTAACTGTTGCTCAGCATGTGGTTAAAGACAGTGGAAAATAGTGGGCACTTGGGATTAATCATTCTGGTTGCTCGTTGCCCTAATAAGGAGTGACCACCAACCACAGCTGAAAGCTTTACAGTGCTGTGCGCAGTATTTATACTACATACTGTTTGCCACTTGTGTGTACTGCCATTGTTAATATAAACATTACAATCTGCAGCCATTCTCTCTTTCAGATAAACAGCGTACGCTGTTGTAAGATCTCTTGCTCAGATAGTACTATCTAACAATAACAGTATAAGTGCACGTGTAATTTAAGTACTTCTAACCTCAGGTCACGGGGTCATTTGATAAGAAACACAACCTGTATAAAAATAAACAGAAAAAGAAAGAAGGAGAGAGGGGGGACAGAGGAGGGACGGAGGGGGAGAGCACAACATTATCTTCCATTCTTCTTTTCGACACTTCCAGGTTCTTCTGTTTCACTTTAGTTCCATGCACATTATAAACTAGTCTCCTAGTGTGTTTATGTGTGGAGACGCTGATCATATTGCGTACTTTCTGAAGTATTTGGTACAGCTCGGCTTATTTCTTTGTTAGTCGTCGAACAAAGAGTCGTTGAAACCTTTTTATTGATTTCCTGAGGTCCAGATAATTCCTGCTTTACGGTGATGTCTGACAGTTCTTGAAAAATGACTTTAACATCATTGAGTCATCAAACTGTCTGCAAGGATGAATGAAAGGATTGATGGATTGAATGGTATGTATAGGATTATGAGAATTCATCACATCCCCTGTCACTGTCTTCCCTCCATCCCTAACTATACAGAACTATCAGTCAGTACTGGAACAGCTTTTGCTTGTTGCCACAGTCTATAAATACTCTACCATTAAAGACAAAGCTGACCTACAAAAAACCAAAATATTTACATGGCATTTTTGTAAAACGGGCAATTTAAGCTACATTGTCTACAAACTTGACTTGTTCCTAATGTTTTAAAATAAAAGCAATCTAAGAAACTTCACACATACACACACATACACACATACACAAGCAATTTCCATAACGGTGGCCTCACTAATGACTTCTCTTCCTGTTGATTTTATCAGAGATCCAACGCTCTGGCTGTTGTGCGTGTGCGTGTGTGTGTGTGTGTGTGTGTGTGTGTGTGAGAGAGAGAGAGAGAGAGAGAGTGTGTGTTCTGAGGGCAGACAGACTGAATAACAGGAAGAACAAGACTCTGTTTGTTGGCGCAATCAAACACACAACCACACAGTGTGCACATTAAACTGGTCCTTGTGGCGACTAACTGCCACTTACTGAAGGATATTTCTGTTTGGCCCGTGGCAGATAGATAAAGAGAGAGAGAGAGAAAGAGAGAGGGTGAGTGAGAGAGAGAGAGAGTGAGAGAGAGAGAATTAGGGATTCCCTCTGTCACATTTACATACCGTCTTCTTAAGACAAACACACGTGCAAACATGTACACACTTTTTACACACTCTCTCAGTTCGACAGTACACAGCGTGAATGCTAATGCCATGCTATAGCTCTGTTTCTGGGTGAGAAAACAGGAGGCAGCGTCAATGGCAGTGAATTTCTGAACATTTGTTTGAACACTAATGAACAATTGAGCATTTGTTACGAGTCAAAATCTGTGAGTAGGATGTTATAGAAGAGAGAAAAGGAGGAGAAAGAGAAATTACACCAGAGCTACAAATGGGCCTGGTAGAAGACACCATTAATGAGACTGTTTCCCTCTTACTACATTGATGAAGCTCAGCGTTTACACAGTGTGGATTAACGACATTTTCTGTCTGATTCAATTACCATAATGGTGTTCTATGTTGAACATCATCTGTTTATTGATGTGCAATTTCCTCCCGATTGATCAACTGATATTTTAAGTCATTTGAGTTACAGTGTAGCGATAATAGCGTAGCATTTACATGTCAGACTGGGAACAGTTTCTGAGAATTGAAACTCTTTTCACTGCAGAAGTCTACAGTCATTACTACAGTGGAACAGGTTACATTATCCTAAAGGTTCAGGTAAGCTGAGTTAACCCTGCAGCTCAGTTAACCCTGCTAATACTCTATACTTCACCTGGCCTTTAAGTATAATTTTCAATTGCTAATGCTAATGCTGCCCCCTTCATTTTTATTTATGATGCCATAATAGAAAATGAATGGATGGATGGATGTCCCAAACATTTAAAAAATAATAATCAGAGAGAAACGTCTCTGCATCCCATATACCAGGAGTCACTGTTAAAAACACACACACCCACACACACACAACCACATATTAATGCATGAATTAGAGCGTGGTGGATCTCAGTGAGTGACTGAATAGAATGAGAGTGGGCTGTACAGAAGGGCATTGTGGGACCGGACTGGCTGCACAGTTTCAAACACATGCATTCGCTCATGCTCACAAACACATACACACATATTGATGTGTGTGTGTGCAGAGATTCTGCTGATGCTAAGAGGCACGAGTTGTACTAATGTAAATGCAACAGATGCCACACAATACACAGATTAACAGGCAAAAACAATGGCGTGTTAGTGTCAGTCGTGTACGTGTTGTTACTGTGTTTTTACCAGAGCTTCAGTTATTATCCCACAAACAAAAACAATAGAGTGTATATGCATATTAAAAGGTGATTATCTTTTTATCTTTTTTCCTTTTGGCCCTGTCATCGACTGGCCAACTGTCCAGGGTGAACCCCATCCTCGTCTGAGAACTGATGAACTGATGAACTGATGAAATTCGTACTGCACAGAGACTCATTCACTTTTGACTCATTCACTCATTCTCCCAGCAAAAATAATAAGACAAATGTTTTTAATCCAGGTGGCGAAAGACGTGTCCATCCGCCTCCACAGCCAGCTGGACAGTATAGAGAAGAAAAGGAGTCGCCTTGAGAGGGAGAACGAGGAGCTCAGGGTCCAACTCCAAGACCTGGAGGTCGCCAAGCAGGTCCTGCAGCAGGAGATAGACAAGGTAGGACTGGAATATGATGGAGCCTGTAGCAATACAGTTCTGAGGTTCTGAAGATGTGGAGACTCGTCATTATGATGTTTTCATTTATTTATTTTGGTGTGGAGCTTTTAGTGAAAATTTCACCTTAACACACACGTCCTCTGGTGCTTCTGTTGCTTTGGTAAAAGCAGTGTGTTGACTGTGCTCATGTTGGCTTTCCGCCTCAGATAGAAGTCGGCTGTTTCTCATTTGCTGGTGATTTTGTTTCCGCCGCTCAGCAGCCACTCCAGGGACTTTTTTTGTTATTTCTAGGACATGTAGCCAATAAAGTGCTGCATTGGAAGTCTATAAAATAAATAAATTGATCTTGCACTAACTCCACACTCCACAAAGCCAGAGTGACCTTTTGAGTGTGTCCTGCAGGCTTCTGCATCAGTGGCGTAATCAGGAATTACCGTAGAGGTTCAGTTTGTTCATCTGTGTCTCGGTCTTCTTCTGTGTCTTATTTGAACTCAGACAGAATTTTACATCAGTGAGATAAGAAGAAATGTTGTTACTGCTACTGCAGAAATAGGGTTGGTTAAAATGAATGCAATACAAAGAAATAACAAGTGAATGTGACAGTCACGACCACATAATGAGGTTGGAGACAGACAGCCAGCCCAAATGCCTGTTTAGGCTGGCTGAGACTGAGTCGGAAAAATGATTTCCAACAGAAGCTTAATTAAACATTTGGATTCAGCTTGAATGGAAACTCATCTTAACTATGCATGTAAATTGACCATAATATCTCGTGGTTCGAAGCCCAGGCCTGTCTCACAGACGAGGCCAGAGTGGATGGTTTGGTGTCTGGCAGGAGATCTGAGTCTGTTAGCTCTGGCCTGGCTGAACTCTGTTCGTGCTGTACAAATGTTTACTGCATACACACACTACATTTACTGCAACAGATAAGAGGCTGATTTGTAAGAGGTAAGTGGATGAGTGAAGAAGTGAGGGCAAATCGTTCAGTTGCCTCCTCTTGTTTATAAGTGTGTGTGTTTATTTGTTGTGGTAGATGATGTCTCCACAGTGATATGCTCTCTGTGACTCTGTGGTTTTGACAAACCTCGTTTGTAGTAATGAGTTCTGTGTAATGAATGTTAAATGGGATTGTAGATTCATGCTAATTAGCTGTGGTCTTCAAATGTGTTGTTGTTTACCTCATCACCGTGGTTCTCCTGCGAAAGGTAAAAGGAGTTTGAAATGTTGAGAAATGCGTTTGCTGATCATCACTGATTAATATGTTTTATGTGAGTTTTGGGTGTATTTTGAACTTAGATTGAAATTCATGTTCATGGTCAACGTAGTTCAAGTTTTACTCTTTGTAAGTGGCATTACATTTTCCACATGCAGTAAAATTCGATATAAACGTTAAATTAATCAGTGATCTGTACATATGTTCTTTACATATTTATCCTCTCAACTGATATTATTGAATTCCACACTCTGAGTTTCACTGTCTAGCAGCCTGGTTTCATCAGCTGTGTTTGGGTCTGTTGTTTTCTGTTACGCTAACTCTGCACAGAAGGGAATTCTTCACATAGCTGATAAGATTCAGGGAACTGTGTGCGCGTGTGTATATCTATGAATATCTGTCTGGATGTGTGCCCATCCACACATGTATATTTTACTCATCTGTTTGACTTTCTTACTGTAAAACTGAAGAATAACTCAATGAGTTAGACGGTCTTTTCATCAAGTAAAATAAATGTCTTTTATTTTAAACTAAACGTTCATGCTAGAAAATCTGACCAGACTGGGCATTAATGTACAGGAGCTTATGGACAACAGAGCCTGTGATGATTCAAAAGTGTGGAGGTTTGTGAATTATTGATTGCCTACCATTGTAGTGTCTGCAACCTCCAGTCTGCACTGGTATCGATGTTCTTTTAAAAGCAGTGTTATCTAGAGCACTGGCTGAAACCCTCACTGTGCTGCTGCAGCCTTTCAGTATTTTACTGCAACCTGGAGAGGAATCAGACAATTTATTAAGACATATATATATATATATAGACATTAGAGTCCAGGCTTAATATTAGGACTGAAAAGATCTGTAATAACAGAACTGTGTACTTTAGGCCCAATATCAAGGTTATATTCTAAATAGTGTCAAAGGTGAAAAGTTGTGTAAATAAAATCTGCATCTTTGCATAATGATTTACCCCTTCTCTGTATTAAAACTGTATTTGTACAGTACACTATTAATAGCACTATTGTTTACTTTGCTCTGGTTCAAAAACACAATCATTGGAATCAAGTTTATAATAAAAGGAAATGTTCCCTCACCCTCTCATTTTCACACGCCTACTCCTTAAATGTTACCTTTCTCCCACGTGTCCCACCCTGGCAGACTGACGCCACCTCCCCTCCCTCCAGCCTCTCTTCTTACCACCATGTTTTTCTCACTATTTATTGTCACCTCCCAGTCCTTTTCTCTCCCCCACCTCCATCTCCTGCTGTTCTCACAGACATTCAGGAATGCTGATGTAGGATATTTTTCCCTCACTCCTCTCTTGCTGTGTCTCTCCCTGGTTGTCTCCACCTCCTCCCACCATCCAGCACCCTCTGTGTGTCTTTTGTCTCTCGCCAACCCCCATATCAAAGTCATTACTCCTCCTCTCATTCATTCCCTCCATCTTTGAATCATTTTCACCTCTTCCTAATCTCCCTCAGACTCCACAACCACTGCTACACTCCAGCTCTTTGACCTCTGAAGGTCAGGTATGATGAAGGCAGGAACAGATGATAGTAACGTATGTGTTTAGGTTAGGAGGCATAGGAGGAGGCGTGGTGAGCTGAAGGGGCCTCAGGAGGTTTATGGGAAGGTGGCTGTATCAGGGTGATGTTTCCAGGTGTTTTTTCATCTGAAGGTGAGGACGAGGAATGGATGGATTAAAGTGACTGAGAATAAATGGAAGGGTGCATAATTGAAACCAGGGTTGAAGGAAAATCATTTTGCCGAGTGTCACAGAGTGTTGCAAAAGTGCACCACTGTCATGTTTTATGTGTTACAACAGCGTGCTTCAAGCCTTCACCTTTTAACCTGTATTGTATTTATATAGGTCACCAGAGACATAGAGCAACAATATATCTGTGGAACGAAGCAGTGTGATTATCTAGGTAAAGTTCAAGTAGGGCTGTCACTATAGTGCAAACTACATTATGCAATTACGCAAAAGACTTTATTTAGTATTTCACAAGGAAAGGCAATTTCTGAACCTATATCTTTGTGCACTAGCCTCTCCTGGTCAGCAGTGGTACTGCAATCAAAACAGCATTTCCAGATTGATTTGAAAAATCAGACACAGACTGCTAATATTGTCTGTTTATTAAATTAAGGCTATAATTTTTTTCCATGAGATTCAACACATGCCCATCTGATCTATCAGTGTGACCTTATTTGCTGTGTTTCAACACACTCTGCACAACATTGTGACAGCTGAGTAGATTGAGACCTATTTTTATATAACAATAAAACTATTGCAGAATAATTAAAATATTAAATATTTAAATGAATTGAAAACCTATTTCCTGAATATATTCAAAGGATTACAGCCAGTCAAAACAATGTCCTTTGTTTGTTGTTCCCTGTGCGTCTGGCTGCAGGGCAGGTTGTTCATCCAATGCAGCAGAGGTTGAAGAGAAAAACCTTCTATTTTAGCTTGGGCCACGTTGCCCGGAGGTGAGTGAGCACAAAGGACTCATGCAGTCATGGGGAGGTTAAAATAAGGAGACTGTGGGAGATGAAATGGAAAAAGTATAAAGAAAAGATGGTTGAGTGAACAGAAACAAAATCACCAAGAAGAAGAAAAATGTAAAATCACAAGATGAAAACAAAGAAATTGAACAAAGGAGACGTGAAGAGACAGAGAGGGGAGAGAGAGAGAGAGAGAGAGAGAGAGAGAGAGAGAAAGACAGAGAGAGATGGGAATTAACCAGTGGAGGACTGAGCGAGCAGAGAAGAGATATTGAGAGGGGATTGAACCATGTGGGCTCTCAGAAGGTAGGCATGAAGACAAGGGGAAAAAAATTAACTCAATTAGATTAGAAGTCTTGAGTGGCTGCAGGCAGTAAGGCAAATTGCAAAATAATTTTGCCCTAATGATTTCTTTTATTACATATCTATTCTAGCAGTCTGTTGTTCTCCCCTTGGTTGGTGCATCCATCATTCTTTTTGTTACTTTTCCCATGGAGGCAATAAAGACAGTGTCGTACCTCCATTTAAGATTTCTCTCTCTTTCTCTCTCTCTCTCTCTCTCTCACTCACTCTCTCCGTGATGAAGGGAGGAAGAGTGGGGGAAGAGGACATGTTTATTTAGTAGTGTTCATGAGAGTACATGATAATTTAGAGTTAGTACATCTCGGAAGATAAGGTCACTCTCTCTGCTTGGTCACATGGACATATATAAAAGTGACACATTTATGGTCACCTTCTCTCTCTTTCTCTCGTTTTCCCATGAAGCTGGTGAAAAAACACAACATTCCTCCATCGCCTTATGCTTAATTCACAAACAGGTTTAATTTACATAACCATAAAACAAAATAATTTCTTATGGACTAAATCAAATGCTGAAACGTTTAGACACAGTTGCTGTAGAGTAAACAAACAAAGATACGTTGTTCCTTCTCCTCTGCTGTGAGTGAACTGCCTTTTTACTCCCCCTCTGTCACATGTCTTCACCCTCGGTGCTGAAGGAAACTGTTCCCGTTGTTTTTTACTTACAGGAAGTGCTGCCCATTGTTTGTAGCGGAGGGATGTGGAGCCGGAGTTGCTCTAGTTTCTGCAGTGTGCTCTGTATATATATGTTTGTGCGTGTTTTACAGGTAGGGCGTCGACCTGCAGTGTGCTCATTTTCATTTCCACACTGACCTTCAATGTGGACTAAGATACGTTCAGTCCTAATGGAGGGATTAACCATTGGACCGCACGCCTCTCTCCCTACTGTCCTGACCTGATTCATTTACTAGCTTAGCATAATGTC